TACTCCAGACTATCACTTAGATTGACTCTCAGGCTAGTCATATAACAGAACACCCCATCCTCCTGGCCTTCCCTACTCCTTACGTGAATTCCTGCACCATGGTCCTTCCTTTATCCTTTATCCTTGCTTCCTGGTTCTATCACTAGAAAACCACAGAAGCTTCAGTTCAGGCCTGCCCTTGGAGATTCTCTCACACTGAAGGGATCCCGGTTAAGATAGTTCCTCTGGGCCTTCTTAGAGTTTGAATTGGACATTGACTCTGAATAATCTTTCTGCCTTTGTGCCATGCCACAGTTGTGAACTGCAACAGGCAATAGCTATCCTAACAGAAGAAGCCCTAAAATTTAACTATGGGACAAAAACTAGAAGTTCTGACTCTTCATCAGGTCAGGACTATTCTTGAAACAAAAGGTCATTTGTGGATGTGAGGGAAATGATTTACCAAATAACAGGCTGTGCTTCTAGACACCCTCTGAAGGTATCAGAAAGACTTACACTGCTCTCAATCCTGCCTCCCTGATGCCTCCAGGGTTGTTTAGCCACTCTTCTGAACGGGTGATTTCCCAAACCTATGCAAGTAGACAGGACATCAGTGACCTGCACTTTCACGACCCTGAGGAGAAATGGCTCACTCATGGAAGTTGTTCTATCTAAGAAGGACATCAAAGGACAGGGTATGTGGTTGTGAGTCCACAACATTGTGGCCAACACTCTAACCCCTGGGATTGCCACTCAAAACACAGAGCTTATTGCCCTAACTTGGGCCCTGACATTAGGAAAAGACAAGAGGCTAAATATTTACAGGGATTTCAAATATCCCTTTCTGGTGCTACATGTCTGTGTAGCAATCTGGAAGAAAAGGGGCTTGTTGGCTGAAAACCATGTATAAAGCACAGACAAGAAATTCTACAGCTCTTGGAGGCAGTTCATCCTTCTAGACAAGTCACTGTCATTCATACCAAGAGACACCATTAGGACATGTCTCAAATCTCCTTGGGAGATCAAAAGGCTGATAAAGAGGTCAAAAGGGAAGCTGTACATCCTTATTCTCAGTTCCTGAGAAACCATTAAAACCAATCTATATCCGTTGATAACAATGGGAGTCCAGCCTGATTTACTGAGTGAATCCCCAGTGGGCTTCTGGGGAATGTTTGAAGCTTTATTTCTCTGAAGGAAGCACACATCTTTCTCCAGTGCATCAGTGCTGGAGGGTAGAGAAGCTGTGATCTTCTAAATCAGGCCAGGAAGCCCTTCTTCAATGTCTTACCAATAAGAAACTGTCTTGCCAGTGATGTCATATCTGTATGATGAAATATACTAAGCAGTAGAGAAAAGCAATAGTCTGCAAGTATTATATGAAAAGATATATATGATATAAAGTGAGGGACAGTGAGGTATACAATGCTACAGATATCTGCTGTTTTGTGAGTGGCTTAAAACAACTAATTTATTCTCAGTTTGCAAGGTCATAAGTCACATGGGTTTCATGGGCTAACATCAAAGCTATGGCCAGGCTACATTTTGGAGGCTACCTTTATTCCCTGGGCCCCTTCATCACCAAAGCCATTTTTGCTGCTTTTCCTATAAACAAAGATATACACATGTGTACACATATGCGTCTGTGCATATAAACATGTATGTATATATGTGTATGTGTGTCTATACATACATATTATCAGGGCTGTGCAGTAGCTAATTACCTACCTTATCCCAGTTCCACACACACTGACATCATGTCCATAGCTAGAAATCAACCCTAGTGGGGATATTGACACCCACCAAGGAAACCGGCAGAAGTTACATGTTAGGGTCTCCTTCCACTTCAGAAGTCAGTTGTTCAAAATGTACCAGCACGCCACCGGGCACACACACACACACACACACACACACACACATTATACAAACAATATGTCTAGTTACTTCATTGTGTGCGTTAACTTTTGAAGGACAAAGGAAACCACATGAGGTTACTTCCACAGAAAGAGTCCGAAGAAAGGAACAGAAGAGAAAAAATGTTTTCACCATCAATCTTTTTGTCCTGTTTGATTGTTACCTGGTAATATGAACTGATAAGGCTGTAGGGAGAATTGTTTACTGAGCCCTTGCCGGAGGGCTATGTCATCACTTAGCGTTTCGTTGTCTGGCCAGCCCCGGCCCCGTGCCGAGCTGTGCCAGTCCGCAGCACAGCGAGGTCATGCACCACTGCACCCTGGCAATGCCGCTAATGCAGGCCAAGTTCCTGAGAAGGGTGAGTGGGAACAGAGTACACAGAACTTTTCCTAAGAAGAACCCTTCTTATCTTCGATCCTGCCTTTTACTGTTTCTCTTGTAATCTCACAAGGACCTTAACTTCACAATGGAGTAACGGTGACTTCAGCGGTGCTGCAGCACATAAGACCTTCACCACTCTGTCACCCCTAAAACATGAATAAACCCACTCACTCTCCAAGCTGGACTGGTTTAGGGTACGCTGTGAAATATCTGGTCATTCTTTGGAAAATCGGTGCCCTCTCAACTTGGAGGCAGAGGTCTCTTTATGTCTTTCCCAGGGAAACTTAGGAAACAAAGATAACATTTCGATGGTACTTAGTATGTGTGAGGCAAGTTGTAAGCACTTTGCATAAGTCTTCTCAGGAGGCAATGCTATTATTTATCTTGCTTTACACATGAGGACCCGGAAACCCTGACAAGTAACTATGATGTGCAACAATGAGTAAGAAGCAATACTTTCTGCTGTTAAAGCAAATCGGTATTTGGGTGCCAAGTTTGGGCCAGAGTAAGGAGGAGAAAGGAAGAGAGAGGATATGGGAGAGAGTGAAGAGGAAAGCAGGGTACAGTAGATGAATAAAAGTGAAAGAAAGGGACCTTTGGTGAAGGTGGAGGTAAGGGGCATTGTACTGAAGCCTCTCTTTCTATGCAGATTTTCTCTTGGGCAGGTTCTCCATTATTCCATTCTGGCATCCCAGCCACTTTCATCCCCAATCTAGAGGACAGGGAGCTGTGAGCCAGAGACAAGGGTGCAGCTTTTCGTGGTTGGTGACTGCTGGGCCAGTATCCACATGGTGGCTCCCAACCTCCAGGCCAGCTTATTCTCAGAACTCCTTTCTGCCCTGAGAGAGAAGGGAGACAAGAGAGCAGAGAAGGAAAAGGGGAAAGAGGAAGGAGGAATGGAACAAGCTTTGAGTGTCCAAGGGAGTGAAAATGAGGACTTAGGTTTAAGGAAAATATTCAGCTGGATATGGCAGCCCACGCACTAATCCCTGCTCTCCCGAAGGCTGAGGCAGGCGGATGGCAAGTTGGAGTCCGGCTTCCGGAACTTAGCAACATGGCAAGAGTCTATCTCAGAATAAAAAATTTTAAAAAACCCCAGGGCAACGGCCCTAGGTTCAATCCCCTGGAGCACAAAAAATAAAAAGGAAAAAAGAAAAAGAGTGAAAAAGAAGGCAGAGAGAGGAGAGATGGTAGGAGAGGTGGCACAGAGAGAAAGAGAACCTGAGGAAGAAAGAGAATATGGGAGGGGCATGTTGTAGTCGGGAGTTTATAAGGAAAATAATTACATATAAGACCCATAATTATAAGATTATTTTATAATATTCACCCAAAGAGTCATACACAAGAGAGTACAGGAAATCTGTCCACACACTAAAAACCAAAACAATCCAACAGAGGGCCTGGATCCCACGGCAATGTCCTGCATGAGTCCAGCTGAAGACCTAGAGCCCATGACAATGTCCCCCACAAGTCCAACTGGAGGCCAACAGCCCATAAAAATATCTCACGCAGGACTGTTTCAAGGATCTGCGCTGGGAAGGCCCAAAGATCAGCGGTGGAAGCTAGAAAGTCTGCGCCAGTGGGATCAAGGATCTGTGCAAGCAGGCTGAGGGATCTGCACTGGAGCCAAGAAGCAATGCTCAAAGTAAGAACCAGAGCTCCCCCAAAGTGAACTGTAGCCATTCTCAACGACAAGGTCCCGAGCTTCTCTGACAATGGGAACAGCCAAGTTCATCAGGAAAGTCAGCATGACAAGCTCCTCCAGGAAAACCAACAGCTCCCTACAGCTTCTAAACTTCTTCCTCTCCAGTTCTGCCTCTTACGCTGCTGGCAACAGTCCTCAGCTGGGCCTCCCACACCCAGCACATGGCTGGTTCAGTTCAGCTGGGGGTTACAAGTTGACCACCAGCTGTCAATCCACCACAGGGCACATCAGTCTCACCAGATGGGGAGCCCTGGGGGAGTCGTTTCCAGGTTCTTGGTATCCAGAACAGAGTGTGGAACAGGACACTCAAAAGAAGGAAGACTAAGATTTATTGTAAATGGACTAATAAGTGTAAGTGAAAGATGGAAACGAGGTGAATGTACGTCCAAACCTGCTGGGCGGTGGGGGTAAAACCACAATACAGTGAGGTTGGAGGGAAGCCTGGGTCATGTACTTTTGGTTTTGAGTATACCTAGGGTTGCGGGGGGGGGGGTGTGGGGTGACCTTTATTTCTTGGTTTTCTGATACTTTGATGTAGTCTTGTTCTGTTTGCTACCTCATCAGCACAGGGAAAGGGGGACAAAAAGGGGAGAGATGGCAGAGTTCAAAGATAAGCACAACCCTGTGCTTCTATGCATGTGCAATATCATTTCCATCTCAGAGAGACAGAATTTTTCTTTGTCAGGGGTTATCTCAAAAAATCTGGGAAAAACAAAGATAGCTGGCAGCAAGGCATGAGCAAATACCCCAGAAGATCCTGAAAAATAAGAGAAATTGGAAATGCGCATAGGAATAGGGAGTTTGCCCTCTATGACAGATAACAACACATAGCCATTGGTTCTAAAAATATAGTACAGTTGTAGTTTGATGCTGACTCAGCAGCTGTTTTAACATATGTGGGACGCTCCTCCCAAGATCAGGGTTCAGACCCTCTTATGCAATTTCCAGTTCTACACCACACCCTACTGGCCCAGGCAGGTGGCCAGAGATGAAAACAAAGGCATCTCGCCAACCTGACTCCAGGCTTTTCTGCAGGCATTTGCCCACCAATTTGAAGAGACACGCCCTGGCTCCAAATATATATTACAGCTTTCTGCTCTCTGCGTTTCTTCTCTCTCTGCTTCACTCAAGGCTGGTGGAGCACCCCAGGGTCCGTAAGTACCAAAAACTTTAAAATTTTCACCTTGTGCTCATGTTACTGAGGCTCAGCCTGCAGTCTGATTGCTGACAGTGAGGCCTCTGCTACCCCCAGGAGACTCATGCAGATGTGTCCTTTGCTAGGGGCTCCAGCAGCTGGTGGCTTCCTAGGATAGTAGCTAAACTGTCAGAGAAAGTCAGAGTTTCATTCTAAACATGTGATACTGCAGGAATAGGTCAAGTTATAAATGGAATGATAGCAATCTCAGGATTTATGTTTTCCTTTGTTCACCCTGAGCTACATCCCCAGCCCTCTTGGTCCCTCTTGTATTTTCATTGTGAGACAGAGTCTTGCCAAGTCCCTAAGATGTCCAGGCTGGGCTCAAACTTGCAATCCTTCTGCCTCAGGCTCCTGGAGTGCTGGGATTATAGACATGTTCACCACCACTCCTGGTGTAGGATTTTAAAAATCCTGTGTTGGGTGTGTGTGTCACCTTAATCCTCCTGATCATGGACAACAACAACTCCAACTAGTAATTCCTTCGCTAGAGTTAATTTTGCCCGCAGGGTTTTGCCTGTTTTTTTTTCAACCCCTTCCACAGAGGGGAAGCAGTAAAAGCTCACCATCATCAGCATCCCAGCTCTTTCATTCAAATCCACAAGGATTTGAGACAGGGGCAAGGCCTTGCATCTATGGGGAATGTCAGGATTAGGGTAGGGCGAGGACTGGTCAGGGGCCTCAGCAAGACCTAAAAGCTGCTGCCTCTGTAAAGCCACGTGTGCCCCCTGCCCACTGCCCACCAGGAAGCCAGCGATCTCCTGGGCCTTCAGGCAAGTGGCGGGCAGATATGGGGTGAACAGATGTCTTCCTCCTGGATAGCCGGTACTGCACCCACCCTAATATTTTTCCTGACTATTTGAATATGATCTGTGATGTGTATTAGGTAACCAGTTGCATGGGATAGATGGATTGATGACTAATCTTTTTAAAGGAATATTCATCTGTAATCATTCTCACTGTGAGAAGTCAGGATCAAAACCCAGAGTGCCTTCCAGATCCACTGCGCCGTCCACACAGCGGGAAGTAGGTGTGCCAGAGGCAAGGGACGCACTTAAAAGAAAATTAATTGAGGAAATTAGACAAGATGAATCCCGAGAAGTTCTTCAAATTACCATCATTCAATAAAACTAGGTGAGTCACAAATGTCATTTTAAACTTTCCAGTCGTATTTTATGAGGCAGGAGGAAACAGGTGCAGGTAATTTTTATTAATTTTTTACTGTGATAAAACGCATACGTTACATTTGCTGTTGTGGCCATGGGTTGTTTTTGCTGTTGCTGGTTTTTGCTTGTTTGTTTATTTGTTTGTTTGTTTTTTGAGACAGGCTCTCTCTAAGTAATTCAGACTGGACTTGAACTCACTACGTAGCCCAGGCAGACTTTGAACTCACAGCGATCCTCAGCCTGCCAAGTGCTGGGATTATAGGCGTGCACCACCATGCCTGGCTGTTGTGACTATTTTAAAGTAAACAATTCAGCGATGATTAGTACATTCGTGAGGCATTATGACCGCCATCTCTATCTGGCCCCAGAATATTTCATCAACCCCAAAGGAAACTCTGATCCAGTGGAGCATCACTTGCATTCCTCCCTCTCCCTGGGTCCTGGCAACTACTGACCTGCCTCCTGTCCCTGTGAATTTGCCTGTTCTTGATGTCTCGGATACAAGGAATCATATAAGATGTGGCCTTTGTGTCTGGCTCTGTCATTTAGCACCATGTTCTCAAAGTTCGTCCGCTCTGTAGTATGTATGCCGCAGAGCCTCTTCACGGCTGTCAGTTTGTGGCACAGGTGGACCGTATTTTATGTGCTCATCACTTGACAGACTTTGCGGTTGTTCCTCCTGTTTATCCCCCAGTACTAGGGATTGAACCCAGGATCTTTACACTGAGCTATCTCTCCCTTTTTTATTTCAAAACTTGATCTCATGAACTTGTGATACTTCTGCCTCAGTCTCCGAACGTGCCAATTGCAGGCACGTGCTATTGCACTGGCTTGTGTCTCTACTTTAGCTGAACGAGTGGCGCTGCTGTGAATATCATAAGCTTGCAAGCACCTGCTTTTAATTCTTTTGACTCTGTTCCTAGGAGTGAAATTGCTGGGTCATACGGTAATTCTGTCTAATATTTTGAGGAAATGCTGAAGAACTGCACCATGTTGTTAATAGTATAAGCCATCTCTTAGTACCCAAGGGAGGTGGGTTCCAGGACCACCCGATGTTCCAGTCCCCCTACAGATTACCAAGTCCTCAGATGTTCCAGTCCCCTATGTAATCATCATCATCATCATCATAATATAGTATATAATACTGTGTACTTTAAATCGTCTCTAGGTTACTTACAATACCTTATACAATATTAATACTGTGTAAGTAGCTGTTACTCTATATTGTTTTGGGAATAATGACAAAGAAAAGGTCAGCACATCCTTAGTCCAGACGGTGTTTTCCTCCTTGTTTCTGACCTAAGGTTGGCTATATTCATAGGTGCAAAACCTACAGATAAGGAGGAGCACCTGTATTTGTATTCACTAGACATAAAATGTGATAAAAACTTCAGCAAGTCATCACTATCAGATGTACTATATTTTCTTACGTGTTCAATTCTGGTGCACATGTCCCATCCGGGCACTTTTGCGTTTCATTGCTCCGCCCGGGGCTGCTGCCTACCTTCTTGGACCGCACTGCTCCAGATCAACTGTTTCATTCTTTCTCACTGTGATTTTTCTGGAGTTTATTGTTTTTCTTTTGTTCTGGGAAGCAGTAAGGTTTCCATCCTCTGCGGGCTGCAGAAAGAAGAGCAGGAGGCTGTGGAGAAACGCAGCTCCCAGGTGTTGGCGGCTCTGAATAAGCTGAGCACCAAGGCCAAGGAGGTGAGCGAGGGAGACGCTGGGGACCCCAGGGTTACATCTTCTGCACCTGGAGTCCAGCTCAGCCAGGATGAGTAGAAGGGGATGAGATAGAGCATGCAGACTCGCACTGCCAGAGCGGTGACGCGGGACAGGCGGCACCTGACTCAAGACAGAGTCTTAGACCCTATCTTGTTCTCAACCCTATCTGCAGGCTTGGAACCTCTCCAAGGCCCAGGCACCGGTCATTGCTGTGCTGGGCTCTGGCGGGGGGCTGCGGGCCCACTTCGCCTTCCTCGGGGTCCTGAGTGAACTGAAAAGACTTGACCTGCTGGATGCCGTCACCTACCTCTCAGGAGTCTCGGGGTCCACTTGGTAAGTGTGCGGGGCAGGGTGGTTTCTGAAGTCCAAATGAGAGGTTTTCCCTCCCAACACCAAACGCATGTCCTTTTCTTTTTTCTCCTTCTCTTTCCCTTCCTTCCTTTCCTCCTCTCCTTTCCTTCCATCCTTTAGTCACTGCTTCCTTTACTTCTGCCTTCCTTCCCTCACCTCCTTTTCTTTCTCCCTCTTGCCCTCTTTTTCTCCCTCCCTCCCTCTCTCCCTTCCTTTTCTCCACTACTTTCCTTCCTTTCTTCCTTCCTTTATTCCTTCCTTCCTTCCTTTTCCTCCCTCCCTTTTCCTCCCTCCCTCCATCCCTTCCTTCCTTCCTTCCTTGCTTGCTTCCTGCCTTCATTCCTCCCTCTTTCCCTCCCTCCCTCCCTGCCTAGCTGCCTGCCTCCCTTTATTCAGTCCTTCCTTCCCTCTTTCCCTGGGGATTGATCCTTCGCACTGAGCTGCATCCCCAGCCCTTTTCTATTTTTTATTTTGAGAGAGGGGGTTGCTAAATCCGTTAGTTGTCTAGACTGAACTCAAACTTTCGATCCTTCCTCGGTGTCCCAGAATGCTAGGGTTACGTGTGTGAACCGCCACACCTGGCTTCTCTTCTTCTCTTTTTCAATTAAAAGATAACTGTACAGGGGCTGAGGATTTAGCTCAGCGGCAAAAAGCGCCTGCCTGGCAAGCACAAGGTCGTGAGTTCGGTTCCCGGTACCGGAGGAAAAAAAAAAAAAAAGATAACTGTACATCAGTGTGGTGTTTCATCACATATACACTGTATGGACCACTCCAGATACTTACGTTATCTAGCATCTCAAACCTTTATCATTTCTTTGTGACAAAAACATTCAAAATCCTCTCTCCTACATATTTTGAATTGTATGGTACAATAATGTAAACTATACTCATTGCCTGCGTGACGGAACACTAGAAATTATTCCTTCTATCTGGCTGTGCCTTTGCAGACGATCTCTGTTAATGAACTTCTCCCCCTACGCTGTTCTTCCCACCTTTCTACCTGCCTGTGTTCTGTTCTGATAAAGAGTATTCTTCTGTCTTTTTCTTTTTTTCCTCCAAGTGCCGGGGATGGAACTCACACTGAGTTCCATCCCTGGCCCTTCCTTTCCTTTTTCTCTTTTATTTTGAGACAGGGTCTTGCTAAGTTGTTCATGTAGGACTTGAACTTGTGATTCTTCTGTGTCAGCCTCCCAGAATGCTGGGATGACAGTTGTGCACCATTGCATCTGGATCCGCTGTCTTTTCTGACATTTCTCCAACTCTCTGACACCATGGGGTAGGGTGTCCTGCGATTTAATTTCATCCTGCACTGTCCACCTGGAGTGAGCATCCGCCCCCCCGCCCAAAACCACTTCTACTCAGACACCTGAGGCGAGCTCCTGGCCACCAGCACTTCTGATAGATGGAATATAAGTTGGGGATTCCCAGGACTTCTTCCTAGGTTTGACAATTTCCTAGAATAGCTTACAAAACTTTGAAGCACACTTTTATTATGTTGTCTGGTTTATTAAAGGGGGCAATTCAGGGGCAAATGGAAAAGGTGACAGAACAAGAAGACGTGTGTAGCTACCACCCTTCTCCCCACGCACAGCCCTCCCTGCATCCCCGGGCGCTCAGCCCAGGCACTGTCTGAGCCTATTGTTTACGGCGTTCTCTGCAAGCTTCATTACACATGCATGGTTGACCAAACCATTGGCCACTGGGGATTGAGCCCAACCCCCAGCTCCTGTCCCTTCCCTCTCCCCCAGAGGTTGGGGGCTGCTGAAAGTTTCAAGCTTCCAGCTGTGATTTGACCTTTCTAGTGACAGCACCCATCCCAAAGCGATTCGAGGCCCCTCTGCCTCCAAGAGCCATCTTAGAAGAAAAGGTGTGCCCACCACTTTCATCCTCAGGAATTTCAAGGTTTTAGGAGTTCTGTGCCAGGAACCCAGGACAAACACCAAATGTCTCTCTCTTATGCCACAAAAGACCCAGGACAGACATAATAATTATTTGCTGACATTAAAGCACCTTTACACGTTCAGGTAGTTTTTACACTTTAGGTGCATAGACTGTGGCTTCCTGTGACTTCGCAGGCTTTATGTAGAGAGCCACATTAAGTATGTGCAGGACTTTCTCCGGTGCCAGGCCAAATGACAGGTAGGAAGTACTCATGCCTGGGCACCTGCTTCCAAGCCCGGGGCGCACACTCCTGGTCAGTCTTGGCACCTTTTCAGTGCAGGAGGTAAAGGCTGCACTGGGTTTTGAGCTGGGTATGGAGAGTGAGGTTAGTAGGGATCAAGGCGTAAACAGCAGAGCCGCAGAGCTTGGTGAGGCAGGTCCGGCAGGGTCACACCTGGAACTCCTACGTCCTCCCAGAGGTTAACATGCTAAGTGATGGGGCCTGAGGGTTAGCAGGCCTGCCCTGTTCCCAACCTGAAGGCTGCTGTTAAACTCCGAAGCACAAGACTTCTCTCCTTGTTGCTCCTTGGAGGTCCACCATGCTGCAGCCTGTGAATAAGGAGGCGGGCTTGCATTCCAACAGCTTGGTCCCAATCCTGGACCCCCGGGCTCCTTAACTGTCAAAGAGGTAACCGTATTGACCTCATGGGGCTGTTGTACTAAACAGTGCAACACACATGAAGCATCCAGATCAGAGCTATCCAATGGAGATATAACTCGAATCACATTTGTCCATTTGAATTTTCTCTAGTAACCTCAGTGAAAAAGTAAAAAGAAACCATGACACTAATCATCACTGTATATTTTCTTTTTAACCCAGTATATCTGAAACATTAACATTTGGCACAAAAACACTGCAGAAATTAATGAGGTGTTTGACATTCCTGTTGTCAAACTGTATACTCTCAGTGCATTCCAATTTGGATGCCGAAGTCTCCTTGGACCATGAATGTACATTTGAAATAGGAGCTTTTCACTGGGTGCGGTAGCACATGCATGTAATCCCAGCTCTCGGGATACTGAAGCAGAAGGATCACAGGTCTGAGCCCAGCCTGGGCAGTTTAGGGAGACTCTGTCTCACAATAAAAAATTAAAGGGTTTGGGAATATAGCTTAATGTAAAGGACCTTGGTTCAACCCACAGTATGGGGGGAGGAAGGTTTCACATTCAACTTGTTCCAAATGTGCTTCAAAGTTTCCCAATAACAAAATGGAATATCAGTGTTTAAATAGGAGTTCAAATATTTATTGAGTGAACAAATGGATGTAACCTGTAATAGGAGCTAGCAAGCAAGGTGTTCCTCTTTGAAAAATCCTCTCTACCAAGGATTGTT